ACCGATAGCATTTGCCCCTGACGGTATTCGACTAACAATTAGTGAAGCGAGTACGCAGAAAGTATAAAACGCTACCGGGTATTCACCTGCAGCGTTGTAATTCCAAGATATCAGGATTGAGGAGCACAACCCCAGTTGTTTAAGACTGAGAATGGGTGAACGATACAACGGCTAAACATATAAGCCACCAGGCTGGTCTCAATGCTGTTTTCATGAACAACCAAAAAGCCATGCAACCGATTTGAGACTAAGGTTAGCAATGTAGTGGGGCCATCGCTCTGCTTTCAGAGCAGTTGGTTTTTGTTGAAGTGAACCTTGGTCACTTCCATCACGGGGACGGTAACTGAAGCAGTTGGAGATTAGGTGTTGCGCGCCTGGAAACATTACACTCTGGCTATAGCATTGAAGACGGGTAGCTCAGGTTGTTCAGATGGTGGTTTAACTGTTAGCTGAGCTTGGAAATTTTGCTGCAAACGTTTCATCACCAATCGATGTGACATCTCACCTCGATTGGTGACGAAACGTTTGCCGCAAAACTGCCAAGCTCAGCGAAGTGTAAAACCGCCAAATTATACTCCGCCTATGAATAATGAAAGCAAAGAGCTAGTCAAAACAAATCTGTGTTGCTCCATCGTCGTTAGTTCGGACACGTGTGTGGAATCACGTCCCTGATTGCTATGTGTCTGCAGTGTATTACAGCTGCGTCATACGCGATTCGGATGGAATGCGACTCCTAACGCTGAAATCCGCAAAGTAGGCCTGTAGAAATAGCATGAATTCTGACAATGATTTCGCTGCTAATAATTTCGCGGACAAACTGTTTCCGTATTGCACCAATCGACACCTGAAGCGTGGAGAGTGAGTTTCACGCTTCAGGTCTGGCACTATGATCTTGTATCGGTGTACGCTGGTGTTGCTTGTTGTGCGAATGTGGAGCAGTGGCCACAAAATGCGAAAGTGGCTGGCTAGCAGAACAACCTCCACGTGCTGCCAGCTGGGTGGTCGGGGTTGATCCTGTTCCAGCGAATGGTTCGGCGGCAGTGTTCCAAGACGTGGTGGGTTTTCGCCTGTCAAGCGTTCTCCCTATAAAAAGCCACAAATGTCTAACAGCACTGTGACGTGGCGGATATGACTCGCCACTAAATAAAGTCAGTGCTTCCTGCCTTTCCGTAGGCTCTACCCCACTCACGGACGTCACCCAATTCGAAGATATTATTCGATACCTTCCTATGTTGGCGAGTTCACCGAACACAAGCACAAACTCAACACAACACTTACATATATACACAAAACATCACTCCAGTAGGCACTGGTTACATAGTAACACTTGTGACAATTAATGATTATACGCTCTGTATTACCATGATCATGCCTTTTAGGCGTGTCCCGCATTGTCGGGAATAAAAGATTTATTTATTTAAAGAAGTAATGTCCGATGCGTCATAATGAGGTCAACACTAAACCGACGATGCGACAGGGTGTACAGCCCTAATCTCTTGTATCGGTCTTTGAATGACGTAACTCGTAAACTGGGGATGAGCATGGTAGCCACATGCCAAACACACCCCAGTTTTTGCACCTCGACGTGAGTTTTCGAAATTACTGGGAATATCTGTAGCTCGGGAGGTTTGTTCAGTTGCTGTGGTGTTCGCCGCGCTGGGAAACTTGATTGCAAACATTACATCACCATTCGAGGTGACATCGTCAGTGCGGGATTGATAACATTTAGGTAGAAAGAGCTGGTGGAGGCAAACCCAGTGATGAAAAGTGGGCAGTTGATCCGTACTGGGGCATCAGTCTTATGATAGAAGAGAAGATGCAAGTGACGAGAGCAAACAATTACCGAACTAGTCATAGAATTCAGTGTTTTCGGGCAGACAACACCCAACATTCATTGGTTTCATCAGTTACGGTCCAAGTGATCAAGTTGATCAAGGTCTCCTTCAATGTGAATGGCGGTCCGCTTTGAGATTGCTTACTTACTATGTTTACTGCGGCTAGCTCTTGCGACAGGGTGAGCCGGCTTAAAGAATGTCACGGATTGCAACTGTACAAGCGTGGCGGTCGGCGGTAAGTTCCACGCAGATAATGACCCAATCATTTTCCAGTGACGAGCACCATGCACAACATGAAATTCAAGAAGATAGACATCCCATTTCACTGCAGCGAGCCACGTTTTTAATTGTCCACCACGGCGACGACACCAATCCTGGCAAGGCGAGGAGGAAACCACGGCCCTAGTGAAGTCACTGTCGGGTCTGCAGAGAAAGTGACCGAACCACTGAAGTCTGCGGCGTTAGTTGAGCACTGAGAGCTTTAAAAGACCGTAACAGCGTTACGATCTTGGTCATTGGTGATACCCTCATGCCAGTGCGTTTGCAAGATAAGACTTAGACACCAATGGTCGAAGACTTCCCGCTTTCGAATGTCTTCGGATCGCAACGGCTTCGTCTAGCAAACCATAGAGTAAAATGGCACGAATGGTTGATGAGAATACTCGGATTTTAATTCACAGACTAATTTGCATACTTCACCACATGTTTCTCCCTTGTAAGAAGGCTGTTCTAGCGCTATCAATACGATTTCGGATGTAGCCTGACTCTTGGGGAGAATAGTGGATCCAATGTACTTGTATTCAGGAACAGACTCGATGAGTTGCCCATGTAAAGAGAGCGACGGTGCGGACTGGATAGCTGACGGTGAGAAGTACCTCGTATTGCTGAGCTTAATTTCGAGGCCGATTGGTCGAGCAGATTTAGCAGTGACTGTAGTGATACAGGATTTTATGCAAGGATAGCGATATCATCAGCAAAATGTAGGTCTGCGGCCAGAAGTCACGGCTAACTTGAAGACCACGATTTGAGATTGCGCCTGCGTCCGAAAAGATAGCATGTCTACATTGGAATCCGGAGGTCACTGGTTCGAATCTGCGTAGGTGCAAGTTGACCTCGCGATATAACCAGCTCTCGTGCGACTGGGGGTGGTCGCATGGCAACGAAGCGTCGATACAGTGTGTCCGCGTATTGTTGATAACTTTTTCTTTCTTGAGAATGCGCATCGCAGTCCATTCACACAACGAATGCTTTAAATTGACTCGAGTAAGTAGTACTTAATCGTTCTGACAAGCGTTGCAAGCCGCAAACCGGACTTTTAGGGGCAGAGGTTCCGGTTGACATCCCAAAGTCCCCGGGTTCAAATGCCTATTATCACAACCTAATGAGATCGAAGAAGTTCGCAATTCATCCTCGAGTGCAGTATTTTCAAGAGAGCAACACCCAATTTGGTCGGACCACGCTGACTGGCCGCCAACTGGCCACTAGTCAATTACAAATGGCTTCACATTTTTTGACATCATTGACTGTATGCGCAGAACTGAGGAGAGTGCCCCTTCTCACAATCTGCATCTTCAGATATCCAGCTGGAAGTATAAAGAGAACTTATGATTTAGCCGACCAGCAAAATCGAAAACAAACGGTTACAAAATGGACCAAATACCAACAGCCTGTCTCGCGCATTTCTGCTGAATGTGACCCCGACAACCCCCATAGGGCACCGACTCGGTAGCCAAGAAGGAACGCAGCAGATGGAGCCTCTATCTATCAAATCCGAACCAATTGCTACAATTTTCGGTCCACCACAGCCATTGCATATCCGGAAAAGCGCTGGAAAGCTGCTTCACCAGTAATCATCCCAAACCAGCTTGTGAGAGTGAAGTCGTGGCTCCGGTGTATAGCCTTGTCTCTGCATGACGAGAAACGTGCATGGCAGAGGAGGATGGGTATATGCGACATATAACAGTTAATTATTTAGCCACGACCGCTATCTATCCCCTTGTCCCGACGGTCTCAATGACGGAAGCGCATGCGTCGGGTCGCAGGTTCTAGTCACATCGCACAGCAGATGGAAGGCGCCATGGTGACGATATGCAAAAGGACGACACGGCCATCCAGCGCTTTCACGGATAAGCAGTGCCTGAAAGAGAGTGTTACTGTAATGTGTCTCAATCAAAAATTAACTCAAAATTCCATCTTTCATTACTCTCTAAAAAGTTGTTACAGTGTCAATGTCACGCATGTGCTTGTAAAACGAATAGACAGAAAACGAGAATCAAGGGTGGTTTGAAAGATGAACCAGCTTGAGTGCTAAGATGCATTGAGCTCAGAAGTGGTCACTTGATGAAAATGGTTGGCAGCATCCGGTTCCGGATTTACCTGTCACTACGGCCTCCACAGAAACTACCACAGGACGCATACGCCTACAGAGGTAACACGGGCGGCTTGCAATGCACCACCCACAGCTCCATATGCAGTGTTACACACGAAGAAATAAGACCGGGAGGCATGTGAATGGGAGCGACCTTTTATTATCGGTGCCGGCTCACACTTCTTCAACATGCACAGCAGCAGCCTTCCTACTTATCTAAATTGGGAATCATGCGTACAAGACGTGCACAAGACTGTGGCTGGACAGTAGTCCGCTCTACACTGGAGGAATGGAACCAGTTTTTGAACCCAACACAGCCTCGAAGATCGTGCACCTCGTCCACCAGCAACAATTTACCTTCTCCTGGAGTCAGTAATCAAGGTGCAGAGTGTCAACATCCACCTCAAGCGCAGCCACACCGGAAATATCAAACAACCAACATAGAATTTGAGGGAAGGCAAACACGGAAAATTGACACGAAATATGCAGTATAGTAACAGAATTGAACGAACCAAATAAAGAAGGATGAATTTTATCCATATTAAAAGACCTATATTAAGTGTAAGTCGGTTTAGCCCAACGACGGTGCAGAAGCATCATGAATGCAACATCAACCTCAGCACGACTAATTTCATAGAAAAGCAACGTGTGTAAGGTAGGGAGAGAGAGAGAAGGGGGAAAGTAGTGAAGGCGAAGTTCGATGAGATGATGGAGTTGAAGGATGTATAGTAAAAGATGTTTGAAGAATGGATAGCACAACACTTTGTTTGTGTTCAATGGGATACAGACCAACTGACCTGATTACGCATTGCAGCAATATGCAATACGGTTCGACCGCATGAATCCACTGTGGAAAGATTCTTTAGACCAAACTGACCGAGTAGTAGTTGCAAACAACTGGAGTGACCATTTTGAGCTGCACAATGAAGTGGCGTGTACAGGTTACCCTATATGAGTAGAAAGAATGAATATAGGAAAGAAGAATCGGTGTGAGACAGAAGTGATGCAATGACATGTCCGTGAGAACAGTAAACAAACAGTGAGTGCGTTTTTTAAGATATATCTAATAGGTATGGATGAGGGAAGGTGGCGTTAGGGAAGAGTGATCTGGTTGATGTAGTAGAGGTTTGGTTTAACGTTTTTTGATAAATTGGCTTCGTTGTGTCGAAATCAACAATGTTTGAAATGCGCAGGGCGTCTCGAGGAATTTTGTCAAAGAAGCTGCGAAGAAATACAATCTCTGTGATCTTGAAAATACTTACACCAAAGAGTTGGTCAAAATGTTCCTACAAAATTGATATACACGCAGTCGATGGCATAAAGAGGATGTCTCAGCGAAAACAACATCGCCGAATTTAAAAGCCCAGCCAAAGGGATTTAATAAAAGTTAACTAGTGTAAAGACTAGAACTGCATTCATGAATCTGTAGCGCTCATGGTACCAGAAACGGAGACTCATTGTACTCAAAGACTGTCCATACAGGGGTCGTCGTTGTCTATGACAATGAGAGATGGCCCCTATTGCGTTAGGGCGTCTTGAAGTCGCTCACCGGTGCTATCGCACACAGGCTGATGACCGATGGTTTAGTGTCAAAGACCAGTTCCGCTCGATTTACTGGTGTTATGGGGACCCAACGTCCCCATAACGGTTACAAGCTTTAACCACGGAAGGCAATGAAACTCGATCCCGACAGGTTCACATGTTTTGACCAGCCCTCGAACTCGTGAGACATACACATTTCGATTGGCCTTTGTACCTCAGAAAACATTCCTTTTTCCGGCCAACCTCCGCAATCATAAAACATCCAGCCTTTTTCACCTAAGAAACATTCCGTTTTCCAGTCCAGCCTTCGCATCTACCAACATCCACTTTTCAACATGTTTCGTTGGAATATTTGCGTAGTGCCAATTCAGTTACTTCCAGAGTTTGGTTACGTAAACCACTGGCACCATCGAGGTATGAAAGAAACGCTGGACTGCGCTGTAATCGAGTTGAGCCTGGCCGGTAAAAGTGTCTGCGCGAAAGGCCTGTCTTTTTGTCTCGTTCTCTTGGGTTTGGGTAGCTGCGTGGGAAAATGCGTTCGGTCTAGGAGTCCGTTCAATTCATGCGTAGTAACCGTGTTGCGCCTAAGTCTCACAGATCGTACAACTTCGAATTTGGTTGGTTACTTTGTCGTGTGTGAAATAGTTTCAAGCCACATTCGTTCGGCCGACAAGGAGAGTTGATACCAGATAGTGGCGTAACCAAGAGGCAGTTATAATAATTGGCTAGGAACCACGCACCGGTGGGATGAATATGGCTGCTCCGACACACGCCAAAAAACAAGGGAGGAAAAGGTTACTAGCAGATATAAAAACGACCGTGAGTAAAAAACCCCCACCTAATTCACGGACGAAGCAGGTGGGAAAGGTAGCTGACCAGTGATGCGGTGAACCAGGAAGTCGCCATCCAGAAAGGCAGCCAAATGCATCAGCCAAATCAAAGTTCTCAGCCAAGTTTGCGTCATCGAGTGACCACCATTTGACACCTCACACAACGCCGCAAAGCAAGGGCCAAACAATACACGATACATGTCGGTGCCGCAAGTCAGTAGACAGACGAATAAATAGAAGCAACTAGTGTAAGCAAACTTAATGCGAATTATGGGGGATTATGATAAGCAACAACTGTCAGACAGTTGAATTAGTAAATCGGTGACTACCAACAGAGACGTCACGCAAGTGCCATTGGTCGAAGACGATGGGTTTCAAAGCGTGCGGTTATGATACCCATTTATGGTGTGCAAAAAGCACATGTTTCACTTTATTGGGGTTTAGAGCACCCGAGTTACACTCCCAGGTAGGCCATCTCTAGTTGATGAGTCCAAACGAGGACGAAGTCGGTCGGGAGGTATGGGTGCTGGGAGGAGCACCATTAAAACTTCTTCAGATGTTCTACTATGACTAATACTGCAGAACTACTCATGAATAGGGGATTTTTCGTGAGATTTTAGAGGGGAGCATCGCAGTTCATTTCAAACCAGACAAACTTCCACGTGTCTGAAAAAGCACGGACATTTCGACATATTAAGGCTCGTCAGCAATGCGTATCCCTCAATTATGTGAGCATAGCCGGATCAAATAATTAACATCTAAGTTCGAGACAAGCCAAATCGTTAGGTGGTTAAAAGGCGGGAAAGCGACAATAACTTTGCGACTGCACCACACCACAACCAATTAGCATCCGGGAGATGAAAACATCAAGGAAAACCCATTATTTTAGTAAGTAATCGATTAACTTCCATTGTGTATTGATTTCGAAGATTCCGGAACCGAAAATTCCTTCATGTGACCGCCAATTTATGGAGAGTTGGTAAGGAACCAGCTAATTTTACCGGTTGACTTTCGCTTTCTAGAAACTGAAGGCCATTAAGCGACCTGTAAATTTGACGGAGGTCTGGGACAGTTGCACCGTGTTTTGGTGGCGTTTGGTTAACACGTCATTCACAATCAAGGTCGCTGGAGTTTTGATTCTTCTTCGACTGGGCTAGAAGTCTTGCGGAGAATTTTGGGTGCCAAATTCGGAATAGCAAGAAAATTTGGAAGATCTAACAACGAGTGATGTGGTTGGGGTATCGCGAGAACCCCATCCAGGAGCCAGATAAAAACCAACCCACTATGCGAGCATCCTCGTGCAATTTACTGTGGCAGTGATTAATCGCGCAGATGTTTCACTCAAAGAGGTACAGTGTTGGCAAGCAACACAGGTAAACCTGTCGGACGGAGGCATGTGAGGCACAAAATCGAAAAGGTAGAGGAGAATCGAGTTCAAAAGACTTACGTAATGTGGTACCAGAGGGTATAATTGTCGTAAAAACGGATGCGAGCTGTTCATTCAAGCTACACCCACGCGCCACTCGAGCTTGAAAAAAACGCCCCATTTATGTGAACGCACATATTACGCCAGCCCAGCTTTTTCGGGTTAGACTGCGAATCCATGTCAGAAACCTTGCGCAAACCTGTATTCACTTCCTTGCCACGTCGTAAAAGCATTATTGTTGAAGTACAGCCTTCTATTGTTCTCTATTTGGAATGAGTCGTGCTGTGAGTGCTAACCTCGTTTGGGTGGGGTTCAGCCCCCAAAGACTGTGTCGTTCTTTACAAATTGAGGAGCAGTTAAGATTTTGCCGAAATGACAGGAATGTCAGATATCAGCTGAGCACCCCACAACACTGCATCCCATGACAGGTTTCGCACACCTCAGGTAGAGGCAGCAAGACAACGACTCGAAGCGGAGTGTCCAGTTGCGGGCAGGTGGGCAACAACATTCATCTGTTTATGTGACGGTCCCAGTGACCACATTGACCAAGGCTCACTTTAATGTGGATGGCGGTCCACATTAAGATTGCGCATCGCAACCCATCCACACAAGAAGTAGTTCAAAATGACTCTCCATAAAGGAATTAACCGCTGTGCCAAGCGTTGCTCGTCGTGACCCGGTGGCTTATGGGTGGCGGTCACAACTAATATTCCAATGGTCCCGGGTTCGATGTCTATCTCTATCCGATGAGATGAAATAACATCGAAATGCATCATAGCAGTGCAGTGTTTTCGGGCGGACAGCACCCAATTCCTATTTGCATCAGCTACGGTCCTCGTGATCGAAAGACCAAGGTTCATCATCATCATCATCATTGTAAAGTCCAAAAGGAACTTTGATGTATCCCCAAACTTGATTGCTTACCTGAGGACACGGTATCTCTTTTCCCTGATTATCTTGCAAATTTACACTGCTTTTCTGTGTTTTACAAGCGGTTCACATATCGCATATTTATTTCTTACACTCCATCACTGACACATCCTTGAGGTTTCAAGGTCATTTTATTTTTATGTTACTGTGACACTGCCCAAATACTCGATCCGCCCCACGCTGGACAGTTTCCGCCCACTTGCATTACGATTGCGAAACCTATTCGTAAGTCATGTACTGTATTTATCATGCCTTATAGAACCACGGTTACAGGATAATACGTTTTCTTCTTCTGCCCAGACCGTGCGTTAAGTCTAGGTTTATCTGTTCGTAGTTTTAGTTTAGTTTTCGTACGACGTACTTAGTTTAGGCTTAGTGACGTTGGTACAATCATCAACAGCAGTACATCAGCCATTTGAACTGATGCTTCGCTGCCATGCAACCATGAGGACCTATGAAATAAAGAATAAGAGGGAGAGAAGGGGGACTTACCTGAAAACCTTAATGCCCTAAGCAAACATTCAGGGTCAAGGCGCCTACACCTTGTGTTAACAACATACCGTCACAAACAGCTGGCTATCGTGCAAAGATAAGGCCAAGATAAGACCAAGATTCACTTCAATGGGAATCGCGGTCAACATTGAGATTGCCAGTCGCAATCCATCCACACAACATGTACTTCAAAATGACCCACCAACCAGTCGTTCATCTCCAGTATAACTCAGACATGACCAAAAGACTGCAAACGTTGGTGGTCAAACACCGTCAGTCTCTAAATGTCCACAGCGCGTACCGACCAATTCCCTGATTCATCTAGTAATATTTGCCGCATCACCGAAGCGTTGTAAATCCTGCCCCTATTTAATGCGCTAAGACCCTGTTGTCTCCGTAGGTGACAGAAGCTTCGAAAGCTGCTCGAGTCTGAGCAATATCTGCAGGGACCTCTTCGGTCATGTGGACATCATAAATGATGGAGCTAGCCAGAGAAGAAAATGAGTTGAGGCTTTGAGGTTGATGGGTAACAGAATCGGATATGAGCCGGTCTAACTATGGAAACCCAATACCAAAGTGTGCAAAGCTTCGGAGAAGCCTATTCGGTAGCGTTGGTTAGGTGGCTGGGTCTGATCCAAAGAGAGCCATGTCATCCGCACACACTACACATGACAGTCAATCGCCAAACATAATGTCTAGTGGGAGGGAAGTGGAAAGTGGCAGTAATGAGTAGTTCGAGCGCAAAGTTGAAGAGGGAGAGATGATGCATCTCTAAAGCACTCCGCTTCTCGTGGAGAAGTTGAGGGCTTCCCGTGGAACGTTGCATAGAACGAGAGAGAGAATATGAGTGAACTTCACAGGTCTACCATAGTTTCCTTGAAAATACCGCTCTTGTCTTAATGGATGGAGAAATTGTAAAGCACAATTCATGTGACCTGTAGTCTAAGCAGTGCCGAAAGAAAAATATATGTGAAGTGCGCAAAGATGAACAAAAGCCACTGAACTAATAGGCCCGTCAGGCAGCTTAGTGCATCACGAAAATTCGGTTGAAGATGGGATAAGCTTAGACGGAAACATACATGTATAAGTCATGCGAGTACTCACCCTGAGGTCCTCGTAGCAAGCGAAATTGAGCAGACATTGAATGCAATCCAAGTGTCCCCGATACGCAGCAAAGTGAAGTGGAGTGAACCCGTACTGGTCCAGCGGACAAAGCATATCACGTGACACTTGGCTGTATGGGTCCTTGCCGTTCTCCTTGCAGACACGAGTCAAATGGTTAAGCAACAGTGTGAGTGTTGCAACTTTGCCGGAAGAGGCGGCCATGTGGAGCACGTGCCGCCGACGGAAGTCGAGGATACCGTGGTCCACATTGCACTGAAAACGAGGAACCAGTACAGAAAAATGATGGTGATAAGGATGTGTGCAAGAATTGAGAGCTGCTCATATGGGTATAGTTTCAGCGTGTCGTACGAGTTTGCGCGGTACAAAAATCCAGTTCCGTCCAGTAACAGTTGAGTAGACTCGCTTCGTTATAGAAGCAGAAAACAGTGAAAATGGTTTGGAAATACAGTTAAGCGTAGGATAATAGATTCTTCGGTGCATCGTGACAGTGATGTGAGACTCCCTTGCAATCCAGGGATGTAACGCATAAAGAAGTGACCCAGTTCAACACTCAGGATTTGATGAGTTACTGCCAGATCAGCACCTGTTACTCCGGAGCTCCACCAGGTGAAGAACGCACTAGACAGCAGCAATTGTAGCGGAAAGCGACAGTCAGATATGCGAAAAACACATGATCTGAGATGTATTGCATCAAAGAGCAAGAGCTTGTGGACCATTTCCTTAAATGTTCTTTTTGCTTATTCCAAGTGACTAAACCTGTGTGTATCAGCTGACCGCTAGCCAAAGAATTGAACTAAGTCAACAATACAAGTAATCAGGTTAGTGAATAATAAACAATGTATCAGCTGTACGCCGTAACGGCGCTTCGCTGCCGCGCGACCACCACCAGTCGCGCGCGGACTGAGTATACCGCGAGGACGCCCACCCCTACGAGATTAGTGAATGCAATACCGTGAATAGCGACTGGTGGAAACGCGTGGTCCGAGGAAGGTGGGTGTACCTCTGAGGAGTTTATACCATTGATACCTTAAGGTACCTAGGTACGCAACACCAAGAAGATATTAATGGGAGCGTTTGAACCCCACAGTGACTTTAGTGAATCCGGGGTTCTAGATACAAGTGAGGGCTAGGATCAGTTTGAGGCTTTAACACAGTTCTAGACGTCAATAGTAGATGGAGCACGCAGATGGCCCTAATCAGCATCCCTAATTCAATGTACAGTCAATAGGATGTTCATAGAAGCAGATACGTCGCTAGTTGGAGGTTGCCTTTCACACTTGAAGTCACACTGTGTGAATCAGCGCTAGGAAACGATGCAATGAAACTGAAGTCGAGTAGGGGTGTTTTGCAGAAGACATGTCAAGTGTTTTGTAGACGGATAGACAGGCTAATCAGTTGAAGGCTGTCACAGTTACGAAAAATGTAAGCGCAAGTATTGCAAGGAAAAGTGCTTGGAATGGGAGGCAGAGACGTAAGGAATGCCGAGAGTGTGAAATTTGACGGCATTTGATGTCCTGACTTGAGTTGGCCGAATCCAACTAACAGTTCATCAGAAAGTGATGCTTACGCTGACGGCTAGGATGACTAATACAATTATTTGGAATCACGAAACAGCAGTTTCCAAATCAGAAGACAGGTTTCAACAAAACCTTTAACTTAGCCCGGAAAGTATAGTGATGTTAAACGTCTAAATGACTGATTAAGTAGTAGAAATGACCCAGAAAAATGTTCCATGCTGCCAAAAACGACCAGTTCGTTAAGACGGTCTCATTGGATGGTCCAAAGTAGGAGTTGTCACTAGCTGGTTGCAGTACAAAAACGCTATCATTGGCTGACTTTTCGTCAGTGAGCATGGAAGTGGACTTGAAAGGCTCCTGTGAGCGAGGCCCCGTGACAGACAGTGCGTACTGAAAACCGAAATCCCTATCAGGTCTGGAAGGGTATGGCAAGACGTCTATGAGAATAGGATCGAGGCCATAGGATGAACTGAATCAAGGACACAAGGTGGAAGGCGGGGATTACGATCGGAATTGGGATGATATGATGAGCGCAGTGAGAAATAAAAGCAGGAATTAAAATGTGCGAAAGTCTGGATAATGTACAAATAAACAAAACTTAGGAATGGCCATAAAATGACACTAAACCAAGTGTCCGGACAAAAGAACAGGGTTTGAATGATTGAGGTCTAGATGAACTGACCAATTAATAAATCGAAAACCTGGCTCCGTGACAAGACTAAAGGGGCAAAGCTTCATATTTGCTTAAAAAGGTAGTGTGTGATGGTGACATCGGATCAGCGAAATCTCCGATGAGGTAGCGATAACCCGTGAGCCATCAAATCAGAGGAAGAACAAAAGGATGACTCCCAGGCGCGCCCTTTAGTGTGTAAGCATACAGGGGGAGATAAACGCTTCGTGGTTCATTCTAGCTCGACACACATACATGTGTGCATTACTGTGGTTTCAGTTGTCAGCTTCGGACGCACGGCAGACAACTAGATGGTTGTGCAATGCGTTGCACAAGTGTATACCACTGCAGATTAGTCGGCTACGAGTGGTGCACTCGTAGACCCGAGTGTGCGGGTACAGCTGAAAAGGCCAATATTATTAAGGCCAGCGAAGCAAGAGACGTGGGCTCACGTCTGAGGTGGATTAGCCTATATACCGAGTTTCATCAGATGCTGGAACAACTGTCAATCGTACAGAGAGCACGCCATGAACATCTTCCTTGAACGTCGCGGTTAATTCAGTTGGTCGATTGCTACCTTCAAACCTTACGCCATCTAGCATGGGGTAAATAAAACACATCCGCCTTCAGTTGACCGGCACATGTTGCGAATGACTGGAGTAGCGTGCCGCATATGCAGTATATTGTTAACCTAACGAACAAGCATGTCTACGAAGGTTAGTGCACAGCAGCGATCAAAAAGACGAAGACACCTGAGATCCATTTACATAAAACGTGAAGCATTGCCACCTTAAAAGAGGTTGCAGCTCACTGTCTCCTGACGTAAGACTTTAAAAACCAGAAGAGTCTATCTATTGACAAAAGTGCTGTAAGAAGTGATCAATCAACAGTAGTCGAAGTGTAAAAGATGAGTACAAAGCTGGGAATACTGGGAGAACTCGTTGCAACTTCAGTGCAGAAAGGCATTAAAATAGAGACACTAAAAAAGTTCGTCCAATTATCTGCGCTGCAACATGATTGTCGAACATTAGACAGATGTTTAAAATGTTTTGGAGAACCGGTAGCTCGGGTTGCTCATTTGTTCGCCGAGCTGCGAAATTTGTTTGCAAACGTTTCACCGCCATGCGAGGCGGCATCATCAGTGCGTCGAGATGTGGAGTGTAATCTTGCTGATTGAATTGTCGACCCGTGATCGGCGGTGAAACGTTTGCAAACAAATTTCGCAGCTCAGCGAACAAATGAGCAACTGAATTAGACAGATGTCGTCCGCACGACCCGCATCAGCCTGGTTTTTCCATTGGTATAGGCTTCCAACACCATCAGCATTATCACCATCAATACATGTTAGCTGAGGATGAGAAACACATCTAAGCTAATTGGGAACAATATAAAAAGCGCCACCAGTACGCCGGTACGTTGTACTTATGCTTCACTGCCGCGCAACCACCATCAGTCGCGCGATGGCTAAGAATACTACGATGGTAGGCTTGTCACCCAAGCAAACCGGTACCCGCGACTTCCGGGTTGCAAGGCAAACGCCTTGTCCTTTCGGCCACGGAGCTGCGGCTGTCCTTTGGAGGAAAACATGACAGGCAAATCCGGTGACAGATATCACTAATCCACCATATGTTTGTAAAAATGTGAAGAAGGAAGATGGTATCAGCAGTACGCAGTACCGACGCTGCGCCGTCGCGCAATCACCAACAGTCGCACGTGGACCATGGATAATGTGAGGGTTGCCCGGTTCCCTAAGCAGGTTGGAATCCGCGCCAACGGATTACAAGGCAGAAGCCATGTCTTTTAGGCCACTTGACGCCCGCAATACAAAAGGATAGCAAACTTAAGACTACAAAAATTAGGTAATATAACGCTAAATGCCATAGCAGGATCCTTAATATCCGAAGCACAAGCCTCTGCAGGGGAACACTTCATGATGCAGTGTACGTTCATGAGGAACAGAGATGGAGAAGTAGGATAAGCCTGGCGAGCGCGCATTGTTGTCGAATCGGCACCCGGTTCGCCCGAATTAATCCAGCTGACGCATGACAGATGCGAGGCACACAACTCAAGGACAAGAAAGAGCACACACGACACAACGAGAATAGCAAAACAATAGTTCATTCCAGAAGTTCACTGCGAGCATGGAAACTGGAGCTTGTAGATATGTACGACACGAAAACGAAAGGAAACTGATCAATCGGAAGTGATGTGGAAGACTACGGAACTGTCCTAGACAACGGTGGGTAACTGAAGACACATTAGTGAGTCGATAAGACGTCGGAATGCTGAACCGGGAGATCGAGAGCGGAGTTTGGTCGGTCTGTGATCCGCACTCAATCGGTCCATGTAACCGCTTACCTAAACAAGGCACTGATCGCATCAAAGTTCTCAAAAACAGGCTGTGAACCCAACAGGATCACGAAGAGTGCAGTGTACTAAACTAAGCACAGTACTAAGCGACCTTAGTGGGCTGTAGTAGTAAGAAATAACTACTAGGCGATGTTGTCTATCACGTGACCCACGATCACCAGCACGTATCGGAAATGACCGCAAAAAGTGCATGAGCCTGAAGAGTGGTGCACTAGGGTACAAAGGTCGTAAAAGGGCACAATTCCGGATTATCTGAAACATGATCATGTTATGCAGTTACATGCTCAAAAGGTGCATGCGTTGTACTGAAAATCCATGTTATCATAGGTAACAAAGGTCGTACTAGGAATCCATAGCAAAGTATACGGATTGCTTGGCAAGCTCGCGATGATCCGGAGGAGGCACACGGGATACTGATTTAGCCTAACTACCCTGTTATGGTTAGAGCGAACCTAACCTGAGTAAAGCCTAGGATTTGGACAACCAAAGCCAGACAGCGACACAGAACTGTGTTCGAACTTGGTTCTGGGCAACAAAAAGCGAACCGACTTTATGTTCCGAGTCGAGTTTACAACTGAATACGAACGGGTATACACCCTGTTGGCAATTTTTCACCAAAACCTACGGATCTTGTGCTTGTTTTATGCAACAGAACATCAGTCTTGTCGCCTGTTCCGCACAACACGTAACAGGTGAAAAACTCGCCTCATAAAACCATACACGTTACGACTATCACATGCAGTAGTTTTGTATTATTGCCATTTTCCTTGTCTGGTTTTGTGTTCACTTCGCCAATACACTATTTAGCCAGTATCGCGTGAACTGTAAATACCACGGCCCACCAGTCAAGAGACTGTGATAACCCACATCACTTGATCCACATGGTACGACCATAACAACTGGCGTCGGGGTACTTTGAAGAACCCAAGGTATAACAGAGGGCGGAGAAACTTCCATATCAGTTGGATTTCTATGAAAAACAAGTTCATGAATTAATACGGCAACAACAGGCGCAAACAGAAGCGCATATGAAACTGATCGTAACGGAAAACTGGAATGTTTGCAACTCAAACCGTACAAAATGTGGAAGATCTGACCTCAACTATTCCTTTTCTGCTGCTGACTGGGAGCAATTGCAAGAGAGCAAGGATGAACATTTTACGGGGTAACTTGAATTCATATTATTTCAATTCCCTTACTCTTTCCATGGTTTGCCTGTAAGCGGCTGAATGAGAACACACGAAATAATCTGAATTCAGGTTATCCCGTAAAATGTTGTTCGTTCTTGCTCTCTGAAAATTTCTGAAGGGAATTGGCTGCATGGGAGCAATTTCGTCGAATTAAGGCGTATGAGGACAGAATCGGGGTCCTGTTAATGGAGTAGAACGGAGTAGACGACCACAGACACACTGATCAAACTCATGTAGTTTGGTCAAGAGCTCGGTGAGGCTGATAAATCCATGAAATGGAAAATGGACGCAGTACGGAATCGAGCTGGTGTTCTCGATCCTACTATGAGGTGCACAGCATGGCGAAAACACTACTGAGTGAACAAACAATTGCAAGCAGCCAACAACATGAGAACTGGCAGAGAACACCTACAAACATACCGCTAGTAGCACTTTGACGCATTCCACATGCCCGTTCGCCACAGCACGGTGAAGCGCGGTACGACCATAGAAGTCCTGGAGATTCATACCATACGAGACGGCTAGCGTCGCATTGTCAAGTTTTGACCCACCCGCCGTGCAATCGGAAAGAAGCAACCGAAGTACGGCGGGGTGGTCGTTTTGAGCGGCCAACATAAGGGCGGTACGGCCGTGTTCATCTCGGTTGTCTGTAAACCAGAATGGACGAAGTGAAGAGTTGAGACAGAATAGTGACAGTATGCAAGACAATCCTCAATTTAGTAAATGAAGCTGGGACCACGAGATTTGTACATAGCAATGGAAAGTAGACAGCAATAAATAGGGGAACACTGGTTTGTAAATTCAAAAAGAAAGTTACCTAAATGGGAGTAATTAAACAAGGAGGAAAGTACAGGTGAATTGGCTGATAAACCAAAATAAGAGGGCCGTAGGGGTGGAGTGGAGCCAATTATGGTGACTCATTCTGCTATGATGCAAACAAGAAGAACAACAGGTAGGGCATACATATAGGCATGCAAGTCAACAATTTGCAAAAAAATAAATGGTCGTAAAATATGCAAGAGGTAAGTAGGAGAAGCAAACGATTGAACATGTGCGACGGGGCGCTATCGTTGTCTCAGATGCGCCATGTAGAGTAGAGTACGCAATAAATTACGTGGTGAAACCAGAAGTCCTCATTCAGCAAGAACGGGACAGGTTGATACGTGCCCCTTGCCAAATGTCAAGAAAAAGCCATCTAACGGTTTCGTGTACAAAGGCCGAAGACAAGGTACATCGACGTAGAAGATCAACAGGAATATAAAGGAGATGGACAGTCAGCGCATTTGGTGTATGTTCAAAAGTCATTCCAGCACCGGCCTCGGTAGTGCTCTCGTTCGGTACCACCATCAGATATGTCAGGCACGAGTCGGTGGTCAAAGACAACGAATTCCTTAAACAGCTGCTACTTCTATGCACCACATAGTGATTAGGGCCCCAATGCGACACGGCTCATCTGACCCTTTACCCATACACTTAGATCCTACAGTCCAACCGATCGACTGAGTGCTTGTAAGAGCTCAGATCAGCTCTCCTAGTTCGCATTGTAATATCTTCCAAAAGAAAATTTAAACGATCTTGTGCTTAAGCGATTATACTGGGAACTGGTAATGTGTCGACGCAGTTCAGTGAAAGACGTCGATTAAAACAGTAGATGTTGCAACGCTGTGTCTGCTCTGGATCGTGAGAGCAAAGCATTGGTTTGTCTGTCAGCCGTCCCATAAGACTTAAACTCCAGCAGAAAGAGTCCGTGATATTTATGATCAGTGGGACCACATATTAAAAGGAAATAGGAAAGATCAGGCAATTCTGATGCCCTTCATTTACCAAGACAAAAAGAAATGAGCAACAGAGACAGCAATCCCAGCCGTGAAAATAAAAGGGAAAGAAGATTGCGAACACATTGTAAAAGGAAACTTGACTTACTTTCTCAAATTAGTTTGTCTATCGGAGAATAGGGTATCCATATTTCCAAACCCTTCTACTATTCCACACGCTTGTGTGCCTTAAACATTCGCATCTTTAGACAACGTCTTTACTTCACACTATTTGCATATCCCAGAAGCTTCGAAGCCGAAGCATTTTAACTATGACAGACCACCGACAAGCGAATGGTTACGCTGTAACAGTACTGCACGTTGTCGCAGGCCTAACACCAAGTCCGTTCATTTCTTTACGATTGCAAAATGTTCATAAGTTATAAACTGTCTTTAGTTTGCATTACAGAACCACGAAAGCTAACTCCAATAGACGAATCGCTACAGCGGTAAGAACAGGCTGAATTCTGCACTGGCCGCGGCTGCATCGATCAAATATTCACACTCCGCCAGATCCTCGAGCTCCGCCATGTGTATCAAAACCGACGATTGTCGTGTTTCTGGACATCCGCGCTGCATGCGACTCTGTCGACAGGTCTGCATTGTGGCACTGTCAGTTGAGGAATGGCGTCTCCGAGAAGTTCGTTTCCGTACTGCGTACTTTGTAGAGTGCGACCTCAGGTAGAGTTAGAGCTTATGGCAAGCATTCGTCTTCCTTTGTTGTCACCAGTGAAGTTCGACAAGGATGCCCTATCTCCCCATTCCTATTCAATTTTGCCGTTGAGGAGGTTCTAAAGAATGCTCTGGAAAATTCGTTGAGCGCCTCCCAAGTAGCCGAGTTGTTGGCTTGGACTACGCTGACGATATCTCTTGCTGGGTGACGGTCCGCAGGCCGCCCAAATTGCACTCAACCGCTTGGCGACTGAAGCATCAAACTATGGGATGACTTTTTCCCCCTCCAAGTGCAAAGCTCTTTTCCAAAACATTCAGATGCATGTACCCGCACTCACTTTTGGTGGTGAGACACTGGAGGTTACAAAGAGTTTTGCCCACCTGGGAAGTTGCAGCACAGCCGATGGAGCTGATGGAGACGAGATTTCGATGCGTATTTCAAGAGCTCACCTTGCTTTCTCTAAACTGAAGCACTTGTGGCGCCGCCATGACATCCGTCTATCTATCAAAGAGCGGGTTTAGTGTGCAGCTGTCCGCGCTGTATTGTTGTACAGTTGCGAGACTTGGACTGTTCGCATCGTTGATCTGCGCCGTCTCTGTGTCTTTGAGCAGCATTGCTTGTGGTCCATTGCTCGTGTGTGGTGGCTGCACCACGTAACCAATGTGGAAGTTAGACAACGCGTCATAGGTGGAGGCAGCCACTCGCTTGAAGAGCTCGTCTCGCTACGTCAGCTGCGGTGGCTTGGACACGTACTACGCATGCCCGCTCATCGTCTTCCGTGTCGGGCGTTGTTCTCGGTTGTTGGACAGGACAGGAGGACACAATGCGAGTGAACAACCTACAACATGGATGAACCACATGAAAAAGCTGACGAAACAGTTGGCCTTGGTCGGTAGTTCTCGACTCCCTGGTTGGGATTTCAGAGTTACAGTGTCGCTGGTTGGAGACCCTAGAAGTCATGGCTCAGGACCGACTTCAATAGCGGACGTGTATCTGCGCGTTGCGGTGATTTCGCTTCCTACCCCAATTAAACAAACAAATAAACGAACTCAAAAACTGTGTGAAAAACCACTGAAAAATGCTGCATGTTTTGTTCTTGTTCATATCCTGTTTTCTTATTCCGCCATGATTCTGATGACACAATATATGTACCACATTGTTATATATATATATATATATATATATATATATATATATATATATATATATATATATATACGGGACCACAGTTACAGGTGTATGAACTTTGTTCTTTTGCCCAAACCGCGCGTAAATTCCTGTTCCAACAGTCTAGTTTTCCCGTCCGCACCGAGTGTGTAGCCTAGTTATCGTATCGCGACACAGTTGGACAAGCAATAAGGTGAGCGCATGAGATCTCAACCCGAAACTTCCACATGGAGCAGAGCGCAGTCGCCAAATATGTTGCCCTCGGTCATTTGACCTTGTAGGTGACCTAGGTATAGATATTCTTCCTCACTTTGCGCACACATCCCATTGTTTACTCCTATGATTAATGCTATCTGGGGATCGATGGCATGCTGATAGTATCAGCTGGTAATCGCTATGTACGGGGATTCGTACAGCAGTACCAACAACTCTCCCTGAAGTGTACGACAAGTCCGAAACGGGTCGTGGATTGCGAACGAACTACACTTAATATGTATCAGATAGTTCTAGTGAGCGATTGACCGAGGCTCATTTCAAAGCAAATCGTGGTGCACACAATGAGAATGTGTGTCGCAATTTCTTTGCACAACGAGTACCGCAGATGAACCCACAACGAGATATTGATCTTTGTGACAGGCGCTCAGCGCGGCTAGGCGGTGAAGGAATAAAGACGTTCATTTGTAGTCACTATGTTCCGGGTTTGAGCCATAGCTCTGATATTTTTACCTGAAGAATGCAAATTGTTTCCAGATACCTCCCCAATGATGGAGATTATCAAGACAAGCCTCAAAGTAAGTAGTGGTCTAGGTTGAAGTCACGCGTGCACCAAGTGATCCCACAATGTACTTTGATTATAAGCAGTAGGAGTATCAGTAGTAATAGCAGCAAGAAAGGGCGAGTCGAGGTAACAGGATCCACAGTCTAGCAGAGCGAGTGACACGTTAGGCCAACTAAAAGGAGCTGAGCGTTTTTCAGCAGTCGTTGACCGCCAACCAGTCAAAGTCCAAGTGTTTGCTGTGGTTCAAACACTGAAGGAATGATCCGATACCAAACAGAAGAATTAATACGGTATTCAGAGATGACTAACACACTGTCTGAGTCACGAATGAGCAATCCGCGAGTGCAAATGTACATACACACACCCAACTGAATAGTGGAAAAGCTTTCGAGTAGGACGGATCGCCCCAAAAGAAGGTTGCACTGCAGAACACGTTGCTTATGCGCACCAAACGTGCGAAACAATCTCATTGGGGCTGAAGATAGGAGACAACAGGTGTGAGTGAGGAGCACTTACGTCGAATGTTGCAGCCACCAGTTGTTGTATTGAAGCCAGGGGCGCTGGGGGGCTGATCCATGTCATGGGTGTGCTCCAACAGTAAGGCAGCCACGTCATAATGACCCTGGGAGCAGGGAAGTTGGAGTAAAAAAGGAAATTAGCACAGCTAGGAAGTTGAACACTGACCGATGGTTGATATTCGTCTGTAAATCAAAAGCACTATGCTCACCTGAGCAGCGGCATGATGTAACGCGTGCCACTGATAGACCGAGTCTTTCGCATCAATTACGGTCCCAATATGGGATGCATCCTTCAATAGAAGTCGACAGATATCCACATGACCTGCATAGCAGGCCAGGTGAAGTGCCGAATGTCCTGACGCGTCGACAACCTGTGCAGGAAGTGAAACGGACTGGCTTGGGTTCACGTTGACGTTGCGATGCGATAGAGGTGGATCATCCGCACAGATCGAAGATGTGGAGGTTTTCCACGCGTCCAGTAACATCTGAATGAGAATCGCAGAAGTGAGACGTGAAGGAGACCTCAGGAGGTCCAATTAGAGGTGTAAAAAAGTGGGAATAAGCAGGAAAGGATTAGCAAGTGTCTGGCACGCAAAGACCTCGAGTGTGTGAATGATTCAGCAGATAATATAAACTAAGGTTGCTTAGGTCTTCCTCACAGGGCACTACGATCGATGGGGGTCAAGTACGACCCGCGTTTGGCGGTCGACAAATGCGGGGACTATGGTTATCTCGCACTTCACGAAAACTGCGGGGTAATACAGATAGCCTAACCGAGTGGAGTAATGATGCTCTGAAGGTCCGGTGACCAGGCTCCATGATATGGCATGCTATGTCGACCCGTCTAGGCACTCACAGACAAATGCCACTTAAAAAATAGTCGAATGGATACATCAGCAGAACCGTTCGAGCGACTCAATGTGCACTATGGCTAATACAGTGGCCTGAGGCTGAACTTCTCCCCGGCCACTGTGAAGTCGAGAGGAAATTTACGGAGGTGATATTTGAAACCGGGGCCACACAGCACATCAACCAACAGACACGCATTACTGCGCGCGCGACTCCATCGTTCTTAGACCTGCTTTGGACTAGTTGTGAGCAACATGTGCATGACATTCAAGTCTTAGAGCCTCTGGGAGCGAGTGACCACTCGATGATCATAGTCAGTTTGGAACTACCGCTGCCGTATTCTCCCCCGCAGGCGGACTCGTGGCCTCATTCGAGCGGCGAGCCAGATAGACTGGTCTTTACCACAGGATTCGTCTATTGAAACCTGTTGGACTATCATTAAAGAGGGAGTGAAATCGTTGTGCGCCCGATTTGTACCCCTCAAATATCGGAAAGTTGGGACAGTCAAACCACATTGGTTCGACAAGGAGTACAACAAACTGGTCCGACGACGACGCAGACGATAGGAACAAATTCGTGTTATCTGGCTCTGATGAGGACTACAAGGCGTACAAGGTAAAGCGAAATCGCTGCAACACCGCGAAAACCAAAAAAACGCAGAAGTTTCGAAGAACAACTTGCAGCCGCTGCAAAAACTGCTCCCAAGAGAATCTTCGCATACGTGAAGCGGCGCCTGAGGCCTGCAGCCAATGTCCCAGTGTTAGAAGGCTCAGATGGACAGCCCCTAACCTCGAGTACAGACCGTACGCGTCCGCACTGGCGGCGCACTTCGCCTCCGTATTTGTAAGTGATCAGGCTTTTCATGCGGCTTCTCCAAGTTGCAGATTGTCCACCAGACCATCTCCTCCAGCCTAGTCAAGCAATCGCAAACAACGCACGACGGGGGTAACGCTGAACAGGCATGCGCAATACATTTCCCAACCACCGCAGCTGATGCAGTGAGACGAACTCCTCGAGCGAATGGCTTCCTCGTTCCAAGACAAGATGTTAAACTTCCATATAGCTTAAGTGGTGCCGCCGCCACACACGGGCAATGGACCGCAGACAGCGAGGCACAAAGACGGATAGTCTGCGCAAGTCATCTTTACGAATAGGTCAAGTCTCGCATCCGTACAACAGCAAAGCACGAACAGTTGCACAACAGGCCCGCACTTTGATGGAGAAACGAATGCCATGGCGAAACTACAAGTGCCGCAGCCTAGAAAAAGCGAGGCCTGCTCTCGAGATGCGCATCGAAACCTCGTCTCCAACAGCCCCGCCAGCAGTGATGCAACTTCCCAAATAGATGAAGCCCTCCAAAACCTCCAGTGTCTCACCACCAAGAGTGAGTACAAGCACAGTCACCTGTCAGTCTTGAAAGAGAGCCTTGTATTTGGATGGCGAAAAGTACATACCGTACTTTGATGGTTTAATCGCCAAGCGGTTTAGTGCAAATTGGACCGCATATGAATCGTTACCCAGCAAGATGATAACATCAGCATAATCCAAATCAACAACTCGACTACCTGGGAGGAGCTCAACGTCAGCATTCAAGGAATCGTCTAGAGCGTTTTTCAAGACATCCTCAATGGCAAAGTTGAATAGGAACGGAGAGATAGGGCATCCTTGTCGAACTCCACTGAAGACCACAAAGGAATGCGAAACCTTGCCATAATCCCTAACTCTGACCGAGGTCAGACCATAGAGAGCGCGTAGTAGGGAGACGAACTTCTCGGGGATGTCATTCCTCAACTGGCAGTGCCACAGTACAATCCGATCGATAGAATCGGAGGCTGCACGGATATTAAAGAGCACAACAATCGTTGGCCTCTGATACACATGGCGGAGCTCGAGGATCTGGCGGAGTGTGAAGATTTTAACGATGCGGTCGCGAAGAGTAAAACCGAGCTTGTTCTTTTCGTTGCAACAATTCGCGCATTGGGGATAGCCGGCGAAGTACGATGAACACCAGCAGCTTGAAAATGATGGAGACTAAGCTTATGCCTTTGTAGTTGGAGCAGATTGTGCGGAGGCCATTTTTGAAGACGGGGACGACTATCCATTAACTCCAAGATGATTGAACTCCCTCTTTCGACCAAACTTTCGAGAACAAAGCGGTTAGTTCTCGAATCAGCGATGCGTCACTATTTTTAAATGGAGCTGGAAGAAGACGATCAGAGCCGGAAGCTTTATATCGCTTCATGTGGCGGAGTTCCTGTTCGATTTCCTGGTAAGAGAAAGGAGCTGTGAGGGTAGACCATTCGGCACCAGTGCGAACGCCTGAGTTGGCAGATGGAGCTGGGGGCCAACAAAACTGCGAGCCAAAATGTTCGGCCCATTGCTCCAACCGTCGTTGAAGATTGGGGACTAAGGTGCCATCCTTTTCACATATTGTTTCACTTATACCAGACCGTACACCTTCTGCGACTCGAATGAGATGGAAAAGTTTTCTGGCATTAGCATTTCTAGCATTGGCAAGCAGCATCCCCTTAGCACATTCACACTACCAAGGTTCGCGGACCAGTTGAAGACTCCTGCGCAACTCTCAATCCAGGGATAGGCGTTCTTCACTGTGGCTGGAATACGACGGGATCAAGCGGCGTCTGGCCATCAGCGACAAGGAGTCGGCGGAAATCTAATGCTTCGGTGGGTGACGGGCAACTCTACAAGTGTCGATACTGGCAGAAACTAAAGCATCTTTGATCTGCGTCCACTGCGAATCGAGGTCATCGTCGATAGTTGAGTCAAGCAAGGTTGACAGTGAGGTTTAATACCTGGTTAAAATCACAGGGTTTGGTATATTTGCGACGTCCGGTCGGTAGTGAACGAGCTTGGGTGATCCTCCGAAACGCATGCATGAACAATGCGTGATCGGAGTCTAGATAAGTTGACCAGTTCAATCGGCACTCCGTTACGCTTCCTCGCCATCTGTAGCTGACTACGATGTGGTCAAGCTGGGACCATCCTTGCGTTTGCGAGGGCGGGCGCCAGGTAGAAGTGTGTCTACTCGAGTGCCGAAAACTAGTGCTCAAAAGAAACAAGCGATGATCGGAGCAAAGAGCAAGCAGTCTGTGTGCATTGTCTGATCGACTGCCATCGAGGTCAAAACTACCTCCAAGGTGGTGCTCGATTGGTGGAAGACGGTCCACCCGTGCGTTAAAGTCTCCGGCAAGAATGACTATAGCACGCTTTTTGGAGGAACGCAGAAGTTCATGTAGCTGCTGGTAAAAGCTACCCTTGCCTGCATCTATGTCGCAGTCCGTAGGGACGTATGCGGAGATGACAAACAAGCCACGCTTAACGTCTCGACGACTGTTTACATTACATGAAGCTCGTAATCGGACTGCGCATAGTCGACTGTTGAGTGGGATCCAGTCAAGCAGAGCTGATTCAGCCCTGGCACTCAGTGCAACCCCAATACCAGCTTGGTTGAGAGGCGGCAGCTTCCGGGCCTCCGGAAAGCCACAAGTGGTATTCGGCGTCAGGGTTTACCGGAGTGGCCATTCTGATGACGTCGATAGAGTTGTAATCTGATTTCTGAAAGGCAACAGAGGTATACCGAGAGCGTTTCAAGAGTACGGGCAGACATGCTTGTCGTCCGATTTACACCCAAGTTCGGACACTAAGTGCTGAGAGGATGAATGGAGAACCAGGTCGAAGAAAAGCTGGAGCTTCGGTGGAGTGGGAGACGGCTGCAATCGCATGACATCGAAAACTGGGAGCTGGGCTGTTACATCAATCAGTTGCGAAAAGTGGGTCGTTTGACGGTGACCGAAGAAGACATAAGAGCGCATACAGGCGAAGGACGGAAATTAGGGTGATCTGTGAGTGAAGGTTGAGGAATTGAGCTAGCAAAGATGATAGGCATAGCCAGAGTAGTAATAAAACAGTGGTCCATGATTCGTCAGTGGATCTGATACTACCCGGATGCCCAGGTCGAAGTAGAGGGTTATCTTAGGGAGCCCTGCCCGGAGCCTTTGATCAAAGAGGGCGTCGAAACCCGTTAGGAGCCGGTGACCAAATAGATGGCTCATGGGTCTTTCGGTCTGTGAAGGACCTGGGGCCAAACGAACCCTTGAAGTACAATGCTTCTCAAGGAGGGGAAATGAGTAGTGACTTTATTTAGAGGCGAGTGACATCCAGCACGTCACAGTGTTGCTAAACAGACATTTGTGGCTTTTTAAGGGGAGAACACTTGCCAGGCGGAAAGCCACCAGGTCGTGGAACACTGCCGTCGAACCATTTGATGGTACGGAAAAAACCTGAACCACCCAGCTGGCACTATGAGGAGGTTGTTCGGCAGGCCAGCTTGGGCTGTACCATCGCAAAACTCTATCCAGCAATATGCAGTGTAAATCCGAAGGAGAAAAACTGGGAAGCACGATTAATCTGGGGCCGGCACACACTCCCTCAACACGAACATCATTCATACAAATGGAAAGAAACATGTAAACCAGACGTATAAAAAAGCGGTGGCTGGGCCGTAGCCAGTTCCACACCGGATGGAATCACATTTTGAACCTGGCACTATCACGAGGATTGCGCACATCGTTGCATTCCAGAAACGAGTACTAGTTTCCTAGACCTGGTGACTGTG